TTTTTACATATATTGCAAATGTATGTCCTGGTATGGTAAATGTGCAAATTTCGAGACAGCAAAGAGAAATCTGGTTTATAGAAATCTGATGTCTAATTTGCGCTGTGTAAGGGCAAAGTACTTGCTTTCTCATTAGAAATGTTATATCACAGCAAACTAATTGTTTCTCAAGTCTCATTAGCTAAATTAGCGGTAACTTTCACCTTATTTTAATTACAACTTGTAGGATGTAGATAATAATCTGCTGTGATAACTTCTCCGTACATAAATGTCATTAATATGTACTTATTTAATGCTACTTAAAGTCTTTGCTGAAACGTTGATTGTCAGTAGGCCTTTTTCTTTCTTTTTTTGAATGATGATGAATATACAGCAGAATCTCAATTGTCGTATTCTAAAAAAATAAAAGTACATTTTGAAAAGGTCAAGTGATTTATTAACAGTCAAGAGTTCAATATTCTGTTATGAAGGAAATAAATATTTTTATGAGAGATATGGACTTTTTGGGAAGAACAATTCGTTGAAATGTGCGACTGATTTATTGCCATTGCTTAAATACAATTAAAACACAACGACATGAAAAAAGCGCGACTCAAATTTTTTTTCATTAAAATTAAAATTAGAATTGCAATATATAAGTTGCAATGAAATAATTAATCAGATTATACGAAGAGAATATTTTGCACCGATTTATCTGTATAGAAAAACGGATTTGGTAAATAATATGTCATGGATAAGTGTTTACCTTCAAAACCAAAATTAAAATGAAATGAGAGTGTTGAGTTTTATATCTAGATCTTTAGCTAAACACTTTTTTACTCCTAAAAACGTATGCGTTTTCATTCCAATTAAATACAGAGCACGTAGTTTTTCATACCTGTAACAGTGGCGGATTTAGAAGGGGTCAGGGGGGGGGGGCTGACCCCACTTCGGTTTCTGAAAAATATATCACACCAATATTTCCCTCATTAAATTAGAATTTTGACTAGTTCTAAACCGTACCAAAGGGTACTGTTTGCTCTCAAAAAAAATTTCGGGGACCCTGAACAGGCCCCGAACCCCACACCAAGTGGGGTAATGGTCGGCTTTGCATCCGAGGCCTGTCGTTCCAGACAAAGTTGAGAACTATTGTATTGTATTTTAACTATTGTATTGTATTTTAACTATTGTATTGTATTTTAACCCTTCAAATAATCCTGGATCCGCCCCTGTGTAAGATATCCATTTATTGGAACTTAAGGAGCAGCATGTGCAGGCATACATCTGCGGTTTACACAATAGGCACAATAACAAGCATGATAACACAAAAACACTAGACTGCAATATCTAACCATATTAAAGTGCAGTTTCAATCATGATTAATACATTGAAACAAAAATACGAAAATAGCACAAACTTTTGACGCTGTATATACTGGATAAACAATATGCTGAACAAACTTAGTGGTAAATGTTTGTGAATTATTATGTGTACCTAATTACAGTTCATGGCATAAAGGATGTGATCATTATCATCATTTACGCTTTTAGGTTAAGTACCAGTCCAATTAAGTGCCTATTGTTCTCATCGCCCACTGGTAAATTAATTAATCTTTGTGTTTTCGAGATCGGTTATTTAGTATGGAGGCGTTAGCAGGTGTTAAGACTAAAACAAGAAATCTCTCTTGTAGAGTTGTTATTCTTTGCAATCGACGAAAAAAAGTTGTCAGGTTTTCGCATACTGTTTTGGGGAAAGAGGACCCAGTTTCTGTTCTTGAATTTGTGCAATAAAATAATTGGAACAAAATGATGCATTTTTTGAGAAACTTTTAGGTGCAGCTGTATTTATTTGCATGTGCTAATTCAAGGTTAACGTTTACAGTGTTGGCATGATGTGTTGTGTGTTCGGCCATGCGATTCTTTTGACTAGTTTTTATGTACTTGGCATTGCTATACTGAAATGGATAATAGTAAGACGAGAGGATCGCGTTTTGGCGAAGCAATACCGCAAACTCCATTATGTGAAAGATTCAGTATTATAACACTACTTAACTACATACATATACTGACCAAACAGCATTTTTGTTATTTAAATAAATTATATATAAGCTTAATTATTATGAAACAGGAGCAAATACTTTTAAAAAGGTGGCTACAAACTTTGTAAATGTAAGATGTAATATATCTACAATTAGTGAATGTTCTTCAAGCAAGATGAATTGTTTTATTGTGCAAGTATTGAAAAATTCAAAATAAATATTCATTTGAAATATATGAAATCTAGACAAGAAACGAATGCATCTTAACCTCGTAAATGACATTTCTATTCGTAATCTAAATGATACCTAAAAGGACTGAAAATCAAATCGCATTCAAGACACCAAAGCAAAGATATATGACGTAACTTAAGAAATCAATATCAAAGTTCATTTCAGGGAAATACACCGATGTTTCTCAGAAAGAATTTATTTGGCATTGTCAACACACAAGGGTGCGATTATGAAGGTTATGCGGCAAAGGCCTTTTGGAAACCGAGCCCAACCTATTCTGATGGCCGTTGCATTTTCCCATGGTAGTTCAATATAGTATGTTTCTCTTTCTTCTTCTTCTTCAAAGACATTAATAAATTAGAAACAGGATCATAGGTTGGGGCATCTGTGGCAGAAACATTTTCCCTAAAGTCGTCTGCAAAAAGCTTCTCTTGCGTCTCCGTGGTGACGTCACGACCGCGGACTCCACCCGAGCTTCAGGTCTGTTTCAACATGCATGAGGCAGTCCATTAATTAACGTTGAGCGAGCCGACACGTAAACATCCAGGGAAATTACTAAATTGGATTTAATCTTTTATAGAAGTTTTTGTGCTAGTCTCTGACTAAAGGATCCCTTATCCCTGCGGAGGGTATTTAGAGTGATTGTGATATAAACTCAAGAAAGTTAACCTGCCCCAATAGGCCAGAACACGCAAAGAAACGCTTTGGCTTATTACTCATGAAATTAATTAAAACTTTTTGCTCCAAATGCAGCAAGGAGTGATAAATAATTCCTGTATTTTTCGCTAAGTTTCCCCGCATGGCATGCAAGGCGATGATAAGCAGTCGAAATTAATCTACAAAATGTATGAATCGGGCTTACACTTCGAGCGATTACCTCTGTGGAACGCTAACCGAAGATCAAGCACTTCATTTTGGAGAAACTAATGAGGCAAGATATTAGACCTTGGGTTGGCACGGCAACTTGCAACTTGTTCTTCAGTATTGATAAGTAGGTTTGTGTCAACGGCGGTACTCTAGAGAACTGAACGTGTTACGGATATCGAGAGGGTTTTCCACATTATTTCTTGTCCGCCATTTCATCTCATTACAAGTGGAAGTAAAGGGGGTTTCATTGCCAGTGAGAGGCAGATATTTTTACCGGACGCTCTGAAGAGCACTTCTTTCATTCACAAATAATTAAAATGTTTTCAATGAATCTTGGGTCTTTATTTTCACAGCTTTCATCAGAAGAGGTGGTATTTTACTGTCGCTTACTGACACTTTCTGTGACGTTTTGTCGGAATTGCCTCTTTTAAAAAAGTTTGCTAAAAACTTAATCGCATGCCATTATAAGTTAAGAAATCTGTTGCTGAGAAACAAAAACGGAATACATTAACGGGAATAGGTTATTATATGGTTATAATCAACTTTCAATTTGAGTAGCAATATAACTAAGCTGTTCGTTTAATCAGGTACCGGATATGATCCTTACAGACGCATGTGCTAAGTTAATAATTTTTTACTAGTAATCTTATGCCACTTTTTTTCTTTGTTGTTACCGCTTATTATAGAGCCCCACATGTACATCTCAGTTTGTTCAAACTATTATTCAATTGTCTCCCCCTTACAGCCTTGCCCTCCTCTCCACCGCCATAAGTGCCCTTGTAATTTTGATATCAATTTTAGAATTGACGTATAATTTGTAGAATTAAAACCCCAGTGTAGCACAATAATTTCACTTTAGACATAATGTACTAACTGCGTACATAATCTAATCCATACGATTTTCTTTTAAAAATTCCCAACGGGCATTTGAATTCCAAGGAAATGTTCCTACAACTTAAAGTAGTCATAATTGGACATCAGAGTACCCATTAGAATTCATTATAAGCATAAGAAAATTGACCATGAGAAATATCTGGTAACATCGACATTATGTTATGTTATGTTATGTTATGCAGTGGCGGGTTTCTTAAAAAAATCCATAATGGGCCCTCTTAAAATTAGAATTTCGGCTAGCTGAATCATAGTTCCAAACCGTACCAAATGGCACCGTTCGACCTCGAAAATGCCAAGGGGTTCGGGATCCGCACCTGTTATGTTATGTTAAATATAGTGTACCTCATTATAAATTTGTGTACTCTGATTGGCTAAAACTGCGTCACATGATATTGCATATTTTTTCATTCGGGCCAGTCACCCTTGGGCAATTGTCTTCTTGTGTCTGCATTCGACCATATTGCCCTTTCACCCGGCCATCGTCCGGACCGTATAGTATATTGCCCAGCGAGTATTACTGGTCATTATGCTAACCTACACGTACATATCCGCCCAGATGATCGCTTCCGTTAAAACTTACAATTACATTGATAAAGATAGGCGGACATTTACGCAAATTCGAGGACATTGCCATAAAATTGTTTGTAATACAAAAATAATAATTTGTGGTTCCTAAATATTCCTCGAGGGGTTGTCCATGGTAAAGAACCCATATTAAACATTTGTATAAATTTCTTTTTTCTTTTGCAGATTAAGGGAAAGGGGAGGGGTTGTTTAAATTGCTCAGTAGATGCAAAATATATTCTAAATTTACCGGTTAGTCGGTAACGAAGACTTTATTTTTCATTCCTCAAAGCAAAACAAAACCGGGCTCTTGCGATGCCAAATGGTACTTTTATCCAACTTATCATATTATTGAAATTTAGCCAGTGGCAACTTCTATTAAATATAAATACACCATACAATTTCTTATCATTTTACAAATTGAGCTTTTATTTACAATGACATATACATCGAATTATACACAATGTGAACTTTCTCTTTTAAAAGTCCGCTGAGATCTGAAATGCTTCCGAAAACACACGTTCAACAAGTCGGATACATTGAACAAACAAAAATAACACAAGGGCTGTATCCATTAGTTCAGGTTCTCTGGGCACTTATCAGAATGTTCGAAATTTCCGACCCACTGATAAAACAAGTACAAAGAGACATTAACAATGGCATTTCGCAGCGGAGGTAGGACGGGCCGGACGCCTCCCATCGACGCCGATACACATCTCAATGAACGCTCTGAGCGTCTATGGTGTCGGCAAGGTCCCAAAAATCTTGAACTTTGCCCACTTCACCAATGGCGACGTTCTGCACTATCAACCTCCCCCTCCGGTTGTAGAGATAAACCTTGATTTTCGTGCACCATATATTTTCCAAACAATGTCTGATAAGATTTGTCCGTGACAAAGAGAATCATTTAGGATTTCAAATAGACCTCACAGTTGTGATCTTTTTGTGGATAAAATGAACAAAACATACACCAATATGACGAGTAAAATGTATTTATGAAAAACTGGATGTCGTAAATTAAAGCCCTTTGGAGGCCTAAAAATGGCACAAAAATCCAAAATATATTCTTCTGCTATATAATTGTATATTTCCATTAGGCAAAATATTTTATCGAGATAAAAATACTCAAAAATCATATTCAGGTGTGACAAGAATACTGTAGCCATTGAATCCATACAAAAATGTCTCCAAAAGGAACCACCAATATTTGAGTATAGTCAACAATAAATAGTAGTTTTTCATTGCTTGTTTAGTTTATGTACAAATGTCTTTTATATATATATATAAAAAAGTTTTAAGAGCGTGCGCCATTAGCTCTTGGCTGGCTCATAAATTCCATGGCCGAAGACTCCCTTCCTTGAAATACCGTCGGACGCGTGGTGGTCGAAGGCATCACGGCGTTTTCTTTCGGTGCGGAAGGTCTGTAGGTGCGGTAAAGCCTGAAAATAAATAACAAAACAATAATAAAACAATAGTCATTCAAATACAAATAAAAGATACTGACAGTTGTCGCTTATCTATAAATTAAGATCGGCTTAAATCGGAGAGGTTCTGTCACTGTTGGGTCACGGAGAACGAGGCAAGGCGATTGAACAATCATCATTTGATTATTAATTTGTTTACTTTTCTCTCTTCCTACTGTAGACAGACACCACCTTAAAATGAACACTTCTTTTTAATTACGGCGATTAATGTAAGTAATTGAAACGTGATCTCGAGGGAGGGACAGGTGAATGTGGTCTTTTCATGCTAACATGTGCTGAACCCGGATTTTTTTTCTTAGAAGAAATAATTCTGTCTGCTCCAAGAGGCCTTAGTCTGCTCCAGTGGTGGCAGCATATGCAGCGCAATTGCCAAGAGACATTTTCTTTCCATTTTGTCTGGCTTAATTGATGGATCAAATGTTACTTAATTACTGCAACACAAAGCATTACTTGTGCATAATTAAGTCTCAACACTGTGACAATTAATTAAGACTTATTCCCAGACAATTAAGGGGAGTTGAATGTTGTCCAACTGGCTTTCAATTCACGCTGTTCGTGGCCTTAATTCAACATCATTTCCTAATATCGATAAATATCCCGTTAATGGAGGCTCTCTGGGGTCTCCTTCTTGCCACGGGTCACAATTAATAACAATCAATTTAACTGCTTTTTGGCATGACACTTTTCATCGCTTTGTCAATAATGGCCCCTCAATCGCTGGCTGTCCCTGTTAGGCAGAATGGTTAATGTGATTTCACAGTGCTTCTTTCCAGGCCAATTATCTAGGCGCCCTCATTTGTGAGCCAGCTCAGAGAGAGTGACAGAGACAGACAGACAGACAGGTGTCCGGTATCGTCATCTTTAACACCAAAGTTCACTGATCAACCAGCCATCAATCAATCAATCAATTAGTTCGTCTGCCTTACTTTCGAGAGGCAGGAGGTGAACATTCTCACTTCTGATCTACTTGAAATTAGTCCAATTGTTGTAGGGAAATGTCCGACCTCGATAAGCTAGAGCTGAAGAAAGACTTAATTAAGAAACATAATCTATATTTGGAAAGTGCCATCAGAAGCTCAGCACTTCCTTCATTATAATTTATTATTTTAAGACTCCTTTTTGGCCAGCAGTAGTATTTCAGATGAAATGGTGATAAACCATTTGAACATGTTCTGTTAACCTAATGACTACATAACTAACTACCAGTTATATATGAAAAAATATCCCACCCCCACCCAAAAGAAAAAAAAAACACCATACCCCCCCTCCCCTCCACCAATATATCTTGGTAAAACAATTTAAATTTGTGTGTTAAAATGTTATACTAATAAGTGATAACTTGTACGGTATTCCCGTTTTCGTGCATGTACTTGAACAGATGTGTTGAGTGCCACCAAAGGAAGCCATTAGGCTCTACTGAGCAGCACATTAAATATAGATGGTGCTAACCCTTGATTACAGCACTGTACAAGTTGCCTGCTGCAATTACCTTCACATAAAGATGCTATGTCAAAGAGCTAAGTGCAGTCCAGGCTCTTACGGGGGGAGGGGGGGGAGTGTACTTTATTCCACCTTTTATTTACCTGGCAGTGTTGTTGATAAGTTGTGTGATTTACCCTGTCACCAGTGATGTTAAAGAAGTTATTAAATGGAAGGCACTGTCCCTTTTTGTTTTTGTTTTCTTTGGCAATATTTTGATTTTTATTTTTAAGATATTTTTCATAATGCTAATTATTATTATTATTATTATTATTATTATTATTATTATTATTTAATTTTCATGTTGCCAGAAAATGTGATGCCTCCTATTTCCTGGTGTTCTGGTCACTCACTTTTACCTACCAAACCACAACCTAGTACTTCAAACAGACTGGTCAACAGGCAGGGCTGACTGACCCCCTACTGACCAAACTACTCACACACCAATCATTCATTAATCTTATCAATACAACTTTTTCTCTTTCTTTATTAAAAGTCAATTAGCAAAACCGACTTGGAATTCTATTTACTCGTGACAAAAACAAAGTAGCATTTCACCACAGCTGTTCCGTCCCTTGAGGACAGCATTATATCAGACCCAAACTTCAAGTCACAACCTTAATTGTTTTTATAAAATTATTGTGTTCCTGTCCTCCTTGTTTTTGTCATCACTCACCCCAGGGGTGTAATTGCAGATCAGTACCCCGGGGAGGCAGAGCCGAGAAATAATTAAAACAAATGAATCAACAGAGCAATTCTGAACAAAAGAAATTATTAACACCATAACAGCGCGAAAGGTGTAGTTTTAGATTGAGTCCAGCTGATGGGGGAATGACATGCAAATACGGCATGAATGAGAAAATTGCAAATGGGATCACTGACAACTAGAGACAAAATATTGTTATTGAAAATTACTACGTGTTTGCCTCGTTCCCTTGAGGGCGGGGGGGGGGGGGGGAGCGGAAAACCTGGTAAATGAGTTTCGCTCACAAGGTCATAAGAAATTGTCTGAATTTTTTTTCATTTTCTCATTAAACAGGAGTTACATTCATAACTAACACTGAGCACAAATTTTTTCATCAGTGCCTTTCATCAGCATAATCACATAAAGATGACAAAATATTACAAAAGGTACAAAATAATGAGTTTTGGCATGGACATTAAAAGATGTTTCTAATTCATCTGTGCTATAAGGAATTCAAAGTAATATAATTGATCAGCTAAACTTTCATACCAAAATTACATCTGATCAAAAATTAATTGAAAATAGGACCTTTTCACATTAAGCGGTATACGTAAGTGATACAGCAATGCAAGTACACTTTGAAAGGTCCAAAATGTGTACTGCAGGGTTTTTTCTCCTTTTCACAAGTTTTCAGCAAGTTCGCTTTCTGCTGTTTAGTAAACTAATTAGTCATATCGAGTGGCCAGGCTCAGTTTAAATGACTATAATACTATGTAATAGCTAAGCTATTCAGTTGCCAATCTCTCAAAGCATATATCACTACAGTCGTATAGCCCTACTCAAAATAGGGGACTAACTAGTCCGAGGGTCAAATATGGCAACCCACTACAAAGCTTGCCATCTAATCTGCTAATAGACACTGAATAGATATCCCGTGGGGAAGTATTCAAGTGGGTCGGCCAAATTTGGCCCTCGGACTAGTTAGTCCCCTAATTTGAATGGGGCCTATCACTGCAGTATACCACTAAATGCAATAAGGGTCTCAGAGAAATGGGGTCTATAAAAGTACACACCTTGGCCTGGAATTTAGGCATCTGCCAAAGGGGAGCTGGGTCAACTGGGATCTGATGAGTTCGCAGGAGCGATGCTCGAGTTTCGTATATCTTATTATTTGTCTGTTTCTTTGTGTGTTCTTTTTCTCTCTTGGTCAGTTCACTGCGCCTCCTTTCTTCTAGCCACATGTCCTGGTATTTGTGTTCTAGCAGCTCGAAGACTGGGGNAGGAGGGAATGGGTGAGTAAAACTGAGATCAACTGTCCACTAATAAATGTGTTTACCCGAAAAATTCCCTACAAAAAAAAATTTTTTTAATGTGAAAATAACTGAAGTTTAATCGTAAACAAACAATATACCAAAATGGTAATTATGTAAGCGATGGTATATGAAATCAACTATATTGTTCCGTGGGCCTAATAAATTTTATAAAAAATTCTAATATTCTCATATTACAGTCTGGCTCGGATTACAAATGACATGTTAGCTTGCAAAGACCTTGTGTTCGTCGAATTTGTCTGTAATACTGATAACTGACGAATATGACTCGACGATTGGTTCTGATGATTATTAATATCGATGAAAAGAGGAAATTCACCACGAAGTTGCGTGTGCTTCAGCTTACGACCCCCTTCATGTTAAGGAAGTGATGTGTTTTTGCACGAAAGCACCCTGCTGCCGTCTGAAAGCAACTCATAATTAATTGTAACATTTTGCGCCTACAAAGTAATCAGCAGAATGGAGCAATATATCCAAACAAATTCATTAACTGTTGTAGCAAAAATATCCTAAAAAGGACTTCGAAGTTGAGAGTGATGAAAAACCCTTTTGTGGTTGTTTTCGACATGCAGGTGATGACTCTATACCTTTCCAAATATTGCTTTTTAGGCGTGAATTCCGAGTGAAATAGCGTAGGAACAATTTTACAGTTTTTCCAATGCATGTCATTGACCTGGTAGAGGCATGTTGTCAACATAAATCACCGTCACATATATGAGTAGCGAGACGAGTATCACATCAATTCTAGAAAAGAATTTCCCAGTCGTATTGAGTGTACTCCTTATCTCTTACGTTATGGGCAATGGTGTAACACCTACAGATCATGTAAAAACCACAAACTCAAAAATGGCTCGAATTCTTGTTAATAACTAGCACTTGCAACCGTATCACATTTCTTTTTCATGAAATGCACGAGGACAGAGCTTAGAATTCTAAAGGTGCGTCTTATATGGACTCGCATCGCGTCACCTTTTGAGCCCCAAGGGAGCCGAGCGGTTGTTCAGTAACAGTTTTTGCCTTTCTCTCCTCATTATTGCATTGATTACTTGGTACTCCCCACCAATCCCCGCTTCTCCGCTATCTATTGTAATTATCCAGTAGCCAGGACAGATGGCCCCTTAGTTGAAAATCTATAGTTGCAAATGACTTAATTTACGTGTTTCTGAAGCCTCGATGATGAGGTTTATCTCTTCACATTAAAGTGAAACAGAATAAGAATGGCAAGAGGCGATTTAGAGGCCTTATTTAATCACGGGGTGCCTTTTAATGAAGGAGATACAGGTTAAAAGATTGGCGACAACTCGAAACTCGCGTTCAAGAGATTAAATAAATTGAAGTGATTGTCAAGAGCCACGGTTGTGTCCACGGTCTGGGGCCTCGTGGTTTGATTTGGCTTATGGTTAAATGGATATCCCAGTCACGTTATCTGTAAACCGCACTCCGGGCGAGAGACACAGGGGTGGGGCCGCCCTCAGTGGATAAAGCTATCGACTCCCGTACAAAGTGGCTTGATTGTACAGGGGCAAAGTGAAGACAGGGAGAAGAAATTGACTTGTATTGAGCGTTAACCCTGACACTTGATCAAATGGGCTGTTGATCCGCACTAACAATATGTTATAATACCTGGAGGATTAGCTTCTAGCTGTCATTTCTCTCGAGGCAATGACATACAGCTCTGATACGTGACGGGACATCACAGTCATAGGATAAGTGTCCTAACCCAGACAAATGGTATATTTAAAATAAACAAATTTTCATTCTGTACGTTTTTGCAGATTAAATTGGGTTTGTGACACTGGATAGACCTGCTGTTTTGCAGCATTGTTATTTTTTCTGTCATTTCTGGATTTTGCCTGCCACTTATCCACGTTTTAATGAGACTGGGTTTTCTACCCCTTCGCTACAAGCTAAAGGCTGATGTTCCCGTAAAAGAAGACATTATCTAAGAAAGGTCGTAAGTGGCGTTGTCAACGTTTTTTTTTTCTTTTTCTTGCTTTTTCTTTTTACATATATTGCAAATGTATGTCCTGGTATGGTAAATGTGCAAATTTCGAGACAGCAAAGAGAAATCTGGTTTATAGAAATCTGATGTCTAATTTGCGCTGTGTAAGGGCAAAGTACTTGCTTTCTCATTAGAAATGTTATATCACAGCATACTAATTGTTTCTCAAGTCTCATTAGCTAAATTAGCGGTAACTTTCACACTATTTTAATTACAACTTTTTGCCAAGGATGTAGATAATAATCTGCTGCGATAACTTCTCCGTATAAAAATGTCAGTAATATGTACTTATTTAACGCTACTTTGCTGAAACGTTGATTGTCAGTAGGCTTTTTTCTTTCTTTTTTAATGAGGATGAATATTCAGCAGAATCTCGGTCTCATTTGTCGTATTCTGGGGAAAAAACATTTTGGTCAAGGTCAAGGGATTTATTAACAATCAGGAGCTTCAATATTCTGTTATTAAGGAAATAAATATTTTTATGAGAGATATTGACTTTTTGGGAGGAACAATTCGTTGAAATGTGCGACTGATTTATTGCCATTGCTTACAACGCAAGTCGGAGAATCTGAAACTAGCCATTAAATTGTTTATTGCACTTAAATTTAAATTAAATACAAGTAAAACACAACGACATGAAAGAATTAAAATTAGAATTGCAATATATCAGTTGCAATGAAATAATTAATCAGATTATACGAAGAGAATATTTTGCACCGATTTATCTGTATAGAAAAACGGATTTGGTAAATAATATGTCATGGATAAGTGTTTACCTTCAAAACCAAAATTAAAATGAAATGAGAGTGTTGAGTTTTATATCTAGATCTTTAGCTAAACACTTTTTTACTCCTAAAAACATATGCGTTTTCATTCCAATTAAATACAGAGCACGTAGTTTTTCATACCTGTAACAGTGGCGGATTTAGAAGGGGTCAGGGGGGTCCTGACCCCACTTCGGTTTCTGAAAAATATATCACACCAATATTTCCCTCATTAAATTAGAATTTTGACTAGTTCTAAACCGTACCAAAGGGTACTGTTTGCTCTCAAAAAAATTTCGGGGACCCTGAACAGGCCCCGAACCCCACACCAAGTGGGGTAATGGTCGGCTTTGCATCCGAGGCCTGTCGTTCCAGACAAAGTCGAGAACCATTGTATTGTATTTTAACTATTGTATTGTATTTTAACCCTTCAAATAATCCTGGATCCGCCCCTGTGTAAGATATCCATTTATTGGAACTTAAGGACCAGCATGTGCAGGCATACATCTGCAGTTTACACAATAGGCACAACAACAAGCATGATAACACAAAAACACTAGACTGCGATTTCTAACCTTATTAATGTGCAGTTTCAATCATGATAAATACATTGGAACAAAAATACGAAAATAGCACAAACTTTTGACGCTGTATATACTGGATAAACAATATGCTTAACAAACTTAGTGGTAAATGTTTGTGAATTATTATGTGTACCTAATTACAGTTCATGGCATAAAGGATGTGATCATTATCATCATTTACGCTTTTAGGTTAAGTACCAGTCCAATTAAGTGCCTATTGTTCTCATCGCCCACTGGTAAATTAATTAATCTTTGTGTTTTCGAGATCGGTTATTTAGTATGGAGGCGTTAGCAGGTGTTAAGACTAAAACAAAAAATCTCTCTTGTAAAGTTGTTATTCTTTGCAATCGACGAAAAAAAGTTGTCAGGTTTTCGCATACTGTTTTGGGGAAAGAGGACCCAGTTTCTGTTCTTGAATTTGTGCAATAAAATAGTTGGAACAAAATGATGCATTTTTTGAGAAACATTTAGGTGTAGCTGTATTTATTTGCATGTGCTAATTCAAGGTTAACGTTTACAGTGTTGGCATGATGTGTTGTGTGTTCGGCCATGCGATTCTTTTGACTAGTTTTTATGTTCTTAGCATTGCTATGCTGAAATGGATAATAGTAAGACGAGAGGATCGCGTTTTGACGAAGCATACCACAAACTCCATTATGTGAAAGATTCAGTATTATAACACTACTTAACTACATATACTGACCAAACAGCATTTTTGTTATTTAAATAAATTATATATAAGCTTAATTATTATGAAACAGGAGCAAATACTTTAAAAAGGTGGCTACAAACTTTGTAAATGTAAGATGTAATATATCTACAATTAGTGAATGTTCTTCAAGCAAGATGAATTGTTTTATTGTGCAAGTATTGAAAAATTCAAAATAAATATTCATTTGAAATATATGAAATCTAGACAAGAAACGAATGCATCTTAACCTCGTAAATGACATTTCTATTCGTAATGTAATGTAATGTAAATGATACCTAAAAGGACTGAAAATCAAATCGCATTCAAGACACCAAAGCAAAGATATATGACGTAACTTAAGAAATCAATATCAAAGTTCATTTCAGGGAAATACACCGATGTTTCTCAGAAAGAATTTATTTGGCATTGTCAACACACAAGGGTGCGATTATGAAGGTTATGCGGCAAAGGCCTTTTGGAAACCGAGCCCAACCTATTCTGATGGCCGTTGCATTTTCCCATGGTAGTTCAATATAGTATGTTTCTCTTTCTTCTTCTTCTTCAAAGACATTAATAAATTAGAAACAGGATCATAGGTTGGGGCTTTCTGTGGCAGAAACATTTTCCCTAAAGTCGTCTGCAAAAAGCTTCTCTTGCGTCTCCGTGGTGACGTCACGACCGCGGACTCCACCCGAGCTTCAGGTCTGTTTCAACATGCATGAGGCAGTCCATTAATTAACGTTGAGCGAGCCGACACGTAAACATCCAGGGAAATTACTAAATTGGATTTAATCTTTTATAGAAGTTTTTGTGCTAGTCTCTGACTAAAGGATCCCTTATCCCTGCGGAGGGTATTTAGAGTGATTGTGATATAAACTCAAGAAAGTTAACCTGCCCCAATAGGCCAGAACACGCAAAGAAACGCTTTGGCTTATTACTCATGAAATTAATTAAAACTTTTTGCTCCAAATGCAGCAAGGAGTGATAAATAATTCCTGTATTTTTCGCTAAGTTTCCCCGCATGGCATGCAAGGCGATGATAAGCAGTCGAAATTAATCTACAAAATGTATGAATCGGGCTTACACTTCGAGCGATTACCTCTGTGGAACGCTAACCGAAGATCAAGCACTTCATTTTGGAGAAACTAATGAGGCAAGATATTAGACCTTGGGTTGGCACGGCAACTTGCAACTTGTTCTTCAGTATTGATAAGTAGGTTTGTGTCAACGGCGGGACCCTAGAGAACTGAACGTGTTACGGATATCGAGAGGGTTTTCCACATTATTTCTTGTCCGCCATTTCATCTCATTACAAGTGGAAGTAAAGGGAGTTTCATTGCCAGTGAGAGGCAGACATTTTTGCCGGACGCTCTGAAGAGCACTTCTTTCATTCACAAATAATTAGAATGTTTTCAATGAAACTTGGGTCTTAATTTTCACAGATTCTATCAGAAGAGGTGGTATTTTACTGTCGCTTACTGACACTTTCTGTGACGTTTTGTCAGAATTGCCTCTTTTTAAAAAGTTTGCTAAAAACTTAATCGCCTGCCATTATAAGTTAAGAAATCTGTTGCTGAGAAACAAAAACGGAATACATTAACGGGAATAGGTTATTATATGGTTATTATTAACTTTCATTTTGAGTAGCAATATAACTAAGCTGTCAGTTTAATCAGTTAACGGATATGATCCTGACGCATGTGCTAAGTTAATAATTTTTTACTAGTAATCTTATGCCGCTTTTTTTCTTTGTTGTTACGGCTTATGGTGGAACCCCACATGTACATCTCAGTTTGTTCAAACTATTATTCAATTGTCTCCCCCTTACAGCCTTGCCCTCCTCTCCACCGCCATAAGTGCCCTTGTAATTTTGATATCAATTTTAGAATTGACGTATAATTTGTAGAATTAAAACCCCAGTGTAGCACAATAATTTCGCTTTAGACATAATGTACTAACAGCGTACACAATCTAATCCATACGATTTTCTTTTAAAAATTCCCAACGGGCATTTGAATTCCAAGGAAAAGTTCCTACAACTTAAAGTAGTCATAATTGGACATCAGAGTACCCATTAGAATTCATTATAAGCATAAGAAAATTGACCGTGAGAAATATCTGGTAACATCGACATTATGTTATGTTATGTTATGTTATGTTATGTTATGTTATGTTATGCAGTGGCAGATTTCTTTAAAAAATCCATAATGGGCCCTCTCAAAATTAGAATTTCGACTAGCTGAATCATAGTTCTAAACCGTACCAAATGGCCCCGTTCGACCTCGAAAAAGCCAAGGGGTTCGGGATCCGCACCTGTTATGTTATGTTAAATATAGTGTACCTCATTATAAATTTGTGTACTCTGATTGGCTAAAACTGCGTCACATGATATTGCATATTTTTTCATTCGGGCCAGTCACCCTTGGGCAATTGTCTTCTTGTGTCTGCATTCTACCATTTTGCCCTTTCACCCGGCCATCATCCGGACCGTATAGTATATTGCCTAGCGAGTATTACTGGTCATTATGCTAACCTACACGTACATATCCGCCCAGATGATCGCTTCCGTTAAAACTTACAATTACATTGATAAAGATAGGCGGACAATTTTACGCAAATTCGAGGACATTGCCATAAAATTGTTTGTAATACAAAAAACAATAATTTGTGGCTCCTAAATATTCCTCGAGGGGTTGTCCATGGTAAAGAACCCATATTAACATTTGTATAAATTTCTTTTTTCTTTTGCAGATTAAGGGAAAGGGGAGGGGTTGTTTAAATTGCTCAGTAGATGCAAAATATATTCTAAATTTACCGGTTAGTCGGTAACGAAGACTAAATATTTTTCATTCCTCAAAGCAAAACAAAACCGGGCTCTTGCGATGCCAAATGGTACTTTTATCCAACTTATCATATTATTGAAATTTAGCCAGTGGCAACTTCTATTAAATATAAATACACCATACAATTTCTTATCATTTTACAAATTGAGCTTTTATTTACAATGACATATACATCGAATTATACACAATGTGAACTTTCTCTTTTAAAAGTCCGCTGAGATCTGAAATGCTTCCGAAAACACACGTTCAACAAGTCGGATACATTGAACAAACAAAAATAACACAAGGGCTGTATCCATTAGTTCAGGTTCTCTGGGCACTTATCAGAATGTTCGAAATTTCCGACCCACTGATAAAACAAGTACAAAGAGACATTAACAATGGCATTTCGCAGCAGAGGTAGGACGGGCCGGACGCCTCCCATCGACGCCGATACACATCTCAATGAACGCTCTGAGCGTCTATGGTGTCGGCAAGGTCCCAAAAATCTTGAACTTTGCCCACTTCACCAATGGCGACGTTCTGCACTATCAACCTCCCCCTCCGGTTGTAGAGATAAACCTTGATTTTCGTGCACCATATATTTTCCAAACAATGTCTGATAAGATTTGTCCGTGACAAAGAGAATCATTTAGGATTTCAAATAGACCTCACAGTTGTGATCTTTTTGTGGATAAAATGAACAAAACATAAACCAATATGACGAGTAAAATGTATTTATAAAAAACTGTATGTCGTAGATTAAAGCCCTGTGGAGGCCTAAAAATGGCACAAAAATCCAAAATACATTCTTATTCTTCTTCTATTTCCATTAGGCAAAATATTTTATCGAAATAAAAATACTCAAAAATTATATTCAGGTATGACAAGAATACTGTTGCCATTGAATCCATACAAAAATGTCTCCAAAAGGAACCACCAATATTTGAGTATAGTCAACAATAAATAGTAGTTTTCCATTGCTTGTTTAGTTTATGTACAAATGTCTTTTATATATATATATATATAAAGTTTTAAGAGCGTGCGCCATTAGCTCTTGGCTGGCTCATAAATTCCATGGCCGAAGACTCCCTTCCTTGAAATACCGTCGGAAGCGTGGTGGTCGAAGGCATCACGGCGTTTTCTTTCGGTGCGGAAGGTCTGTAGATGCGGTAAAGCCTGAAAATAAATAACAAAACAATAATAAATCAATAATCTTTCAAATACAAATAAAAGATACTGACAGCCGTGGCTTATCTAGAAATTAAGATCGGCTTAAATCGGAGAGGTTCTTTCACTGTTGGGTCAAGGAGAACGAGGCAAGGCGATTGAACAATCATCATTTGATTATTAATTTGTTTACTTTTCTTTCTTCCTACTGTAGACAGACACCACCTTAAAATGAACACTTCTTTTTAATTACGGCGATTAATGTAAGTAATTAAAACGTGATCTCGAGGGAGGGACAGGTAAATGTGACCTTTTCATGCTAACATGTGCTGAACCCGGAATTTTTTTATCTTAGAAGAAATAATTCTGTCTGCTCCAAGAGGCCTTAGTCTGCTCCAGTGGTGGCAGCATATGCAGCGCAATTGCCAAGAGACATTTTCTTTCCATTTTGTCTGGCTTAATTGATGGATCAAATGTTACTTAATTACTGCAACACAAAGCATTACTTGTGCATAATTAAGTCTCAACACTGTGACAATTAATTAAGACTTATTCCCAGACAATTAAGGGGAGTTGAATGTTGTCCAACTGGCTTTCAATTCACGCTGTTCGTGGCCTTAATTCAACATCATTTCCTAATATCGATAAATATCCCGTTAATGGAGGCTCTCTGGGGTCTCCTTCTTGCCACGGGTCACAATTAATAACAATCAATTTAACTGCTTTTTGGCATGACACTTTTCATCGCTTTGTCAATAATGGCCCCTCAATCGCTGGCTGTCCCTGTTAGGCAGAATGGTTAATGTGATTTCACAGTGCTTCTTTCCAGGCCAATTATCTAGGCGCCCTCATTTGTGAGCCAGCTCAGAGAGAGTGACAGAGACAGACAGACAGACAGACAGGTGTCCGGTATCGTCATCTTTAACACCAAAGTTCACTGATCAACCAGTCATCAATCAATCAATCAACTTGTTTGTCTGCCTAATTTTCGAGATGAAAGTGGACATTCTCACTTGACTTCTTGACTACTTGAAATCATTCTAATTGTTGTAAGGAAAATCAGGCCTCCATAAGCTAGAGCCGAGGAAAGACTTAATTAACAAACATAATCTATATTTGGAAAGTTGATTACCTTAAGTGGCATCAGAAGCTCAATACTTCCTTCCTTATAATTCCTTATAATTTATTATTTTAGGACTTTTTAGTCAGCAGCAGTATTTCAGATGAAATGGTGATAATCCATGATCTTAACTGAATATGTTCCATATTCCTAATGACTACATAACTGATACATGAATGAGATATGAATGAACAAATACCCCCCCCAGAAAAAAAAAAAAAAAAAAAAAATCACCACCATGACCACCTCTTCCACCAGTATTTCACGGTGAACACTTTAAATTTGTGTGTTAAAATGTTATACTAATAAGTGATTACTTGTACGGTATTCCCGTTTTCGTGCATGCACTTGAACAGATGTGTTGAGTGCCACCAAAGGAAGCCATTAGGCTCTACTGAGCAGCACATTAAATATAGATGGTGCTAACCCTTGATTACAGCACTGTACAAGTTGCCTGCTGCAATTACCTTCACATAAAGATGCTATGTCAAGGAGCTAAGTGCAGTCCAGGCTCTTACGGGGGGAGAGGGGGGGGGGAGTGTACTTTATTCCACCTTTTATTTACCTGTCAGTGTTGTTGATAAGGTGTGTGATTTACCCTGTCACCAATGATGTTAAAGAAGTTATTAAATGGAAGGCACTGTCCCTTTTTGTTTTTGTTTTCTTTGGCAATATTTTGATTTTTATTTTTAAGATATTTTTCATAATGCTAATTATTATTATTATTATTATTATTATTATTATTATTATTATTATTATTATTATTATTATTATTTCATTTTCATGTTGCCAGAAAATTTGATGCCTCCTTTGTCCTGGTGTTCTGGTCACTCTCTTTTACCTACCAAACCACAACCTAGTACTTCAAACAGACTGGTCAACCAGCAGGGCTGACTGACCACCTACTGACCAAACTACTCACACACCAATCATTCATTAATCTTATCAATACAACTTTTTCTCTTTCTTTATTAAAAGTCAATTAGCAAAACCGACTTGGAATTCTCTTTACTTGTGACAAAAACAAAGTAGCATTTCACCACAGCTGTTCCGTCCCTTGAGGACAGCATTATATCAGACCCAAACTTCAAGTCACAACCTTAATTGTTTTTATAAAATTATTGTGTTCCTGTCCTCCTTGTTTTTGTCATCACTCACCCCAGGGGTGTAATTGCAGATCAGTACCCTGGGGAGGCTGAGCCGAGAAATAATTAAAACAAATGAATCAACAGAGCAATTCCGAACAAAAGAAATTATTAACACCATAACAGCGAGAAAGGTGTAGTTTTAGATTGAGTCCAGCTGATGGGGGAATGACATGCAAATACGGCATGAATGAGAAAATTGCAAATGGGATCACTGACAACTAGAGACAAAATATTGTTATTGAAAATTACTATGTGTTTGCCTCATTCCCTTGGGGGGGAGGGGGGGGCAAAAAAACCCTGTACTAAATGAGTTTTGCTCACAAGGTTATAAGAAATTGTCTGAATTTTTTTTTCATTTTCTCATTAAACAGGAGTTACATTCATAACTAACACTGAGCACAAATTTTTACAAAGATGTAGAATTTTCAAATTTTTTTCATCAGTACCTTTCAGCATAATCACATAAAGATGACAATATTAAAAAAGGTAAAAAATAATGAGTTTTGGCAAGAACATTAAAAGATATGTTTCTAATGCATCTATGCTATAAGGAATTCAAAGTAATATAATTGATCAGCTAAACTTCCATACCAAAACTACATCTGATCAAAAATTAATTGAAAATAGGACCTTTTCACATTGAGCAGCATACATAAGTGATACAGCAACACAACACTTTGAAAGGTCCAAAATGTGTACTGCAGGGCTTTTTCTCCTTTTTACAAGTTTTCAGCAAGTTCGCTTTCTGCTGTTTATTAAACTAATTAGTCATATTGAGTGGCCAGGCTCAGTTTAGATGCCTATAATACTATGTAATAGCTAAGCTATTCAGTTGCCAATCTCTCAAAGCATATATCACTACAGTCCTAAGGCCCTATTCAGAATAGGGGACTTACTAGTCTGAGGGTCAAATTTGGCAACCCACTACAAAGCTTGCCATCTAATACGCTAATAGACAATAAATAGATATCCCGTGGGGAAGTATTCAAGTGGGTCGGCCACATTTGGCCCTCGGACTAGTTAGTCCCCTATTATGAATGGGGCCTATCACTGAAGTATACCACTCAATGCAATAAGGGTCCCAAAGAAATGGGGTCTATAAAAGTACATACCTTGGCCTGGAATTTAGGCATCTGCCAAAGAGGAGCAGGGTCAACTGGGATCTGATGAGTTCGCAGGAGCGATGCTCGAGTTTCGTATATCTTATTATTTGTCTGTTTCTTTGTGTGTTCTTTTTCTCTCTTGGTCAGTTCACTGCGCCTCCTTTCTTCTAGCCACATGTCTTGGTATTTGTGTTCTAGCAGCTCGAAGACTGGGGTGGAGGGGCTGGAAGAAAAGAAAATGAAAAAAAAAAATTAATAAAAAATGTTATGTTTGATTCAAGAGCTATTATCACAGAACTGCAGCCAGAAAATTTCAATTTTTTTCTGAAAAAGTGGACCCTTGCCTCCTTAATTCACCCAATTTGAGAAATTGTACTTACTCTGGATCAATTTTTTGATGCAGAGTAGATGTCTTCTGTCCAACAGGGTGTTTTTTTCAAATCTCTCCCCTCCCCCCTGCTCCCCCTCCCCCATCCCTAAGGACCTGCATGAGCATGAGAGCATTAAAAGATGTCATTCAAATTGGATTTTTTTTTTACTGTTTTAATAGAAACATTAAACAAGCTCAGCAACATGTATCATGAAAATACTGAAAAAATTCCCTGATTTACAAAGCAGTATCTTTATGGCAGAATTTTCAAAAATGAAAAACAAAAAAATATATATTTCATGCTGAAAAATGAATGGAATTCTCCCCTGCGTATTGTACTGTTAAACACAAATCATATTCTGCAATCACTGATGATTTTTCAATTTCAACAGGAATGGGAGGTGAACTGCAGAGAAGTGTATATGCATATCATATCAGCAATAGTGGTAATATCTTTGATCGTGAGTAGGGTTAGTGCCAGCTCTGATGAATTGGACATCTTAAAAGTTGCATATGAAGTGCCATTATATTCTTAATTAAGTGCTGAAAATTCACGCCTCTCTAGAAGTCAAAAAGGGATATTTTTATAGTCAGGTATCAAACCCTCTTTGATCGTTTGCCATGAAATATGTGCAAATGGAATAAAATGTAATCCATTTAAGCTTTTTGTACTGACTAAAACACAGTTAAAAGTATTTTGGTGTCTTAGGCTACATTTGATCCCCGAACAGGGCCAGTCACAGCCGAAAAGAGCCCTGTAATAAGTATATGTATATCATGTGACTTCTTTCTTTCTGCTATCCATGTTCAGGGGCTGGGAAGGTAAGCACCAGCCCTGCATCCAGGAAAGCGATCTGAAGACCTGCAAACAATGTGTATTCAGAGGCAGCTTTTGTCCGGTGTTAGTCGCATGAATGGACAAGGAAGACACCTAATACTGCATCAAACTGCTCACAAGCTTGTTCATTTTCATAAATTCACATACAAATAGCTGCAATTATCGCCACCAAGCATCTAAAATTGCCTGCATGGCACTCTGTTTGCCCACCAATTTCCGTCTGCAGGATCTCAGAATAAAAATGGCGGAGGACGGGTTTCCTCCTACGAATAAAAATCATTTACAAACCCAAGGTAAGTTTTCAGGCATTTACCAGTGCAAGATTATACAAAGACAGTTAAGCGTTTGATCTATAGAAATACTCCATGCATGCATTTAGTGCTTGGTAATTTCATTAAAAGATAAATCATTTCCACTAATTGGATTGCCATTTTCTCGGTTACAAGTGTTTTGCATTTATACCTTAACTGACAATCTCAATACGCTCCTGACAGTTTTGTTCTTTTTCTCTCCATTGAAAAAGGTTCAAATGGAAATGCACCATTTTCCCACTTATTTCAATTCTTATTATTGATTGCAATACCTCTATCAATAATGTCTTGATTTGTTTTCATACATTTCTTTTAAGAACACTAAAATGAGTAACTAAATTATTCAATAGAGAGAAAATTGCACAATCAACATTAATAATCAATATTCAATCTTGAGAATTTGTATTGCAAGTAAAAAAGATAAAATTAATCTTTATTTTGATAATCAAATTTAGTTTCTAGTACATCACTATACAATATAAATATGATTTACCTTGACATCATCCAAGACAATCAAAAATGTTCATTTTATTGCTATAGCACAATTGTAAGTATTATTCTGACATTTTTTTTATTTCTGCATCACACTATTATGATTGATCTGCTTCCTTATTGACTTCACTTCAATAAAAACATCAATTTCTTTACTGTTGTATATATGTTTTTTTTTTAAAGAAGACCAAACTTCCAGTTTACCATAGCAATTACATCAACACAGAAAGTTAAACAAAAATTCTGTCTTAGCCTTGATTTCTACAATAGTCAATACCTCACTTTTGTCAAGGCATTTTCATTTCAATATTATCAATACCTAAATATGTGTAGAATCAATGCATGGAAAGCATTATGCAAGGTTCTGCACAATGCCAGCATAAAAGCCAGAAGCTCTGTGAAATTGATTAATTGATAAAAGTTACCCTGCATTTGTTTGGTTCTTGATCTCAATCAGTACATGCATGTGCATGTGTGTGTACATGTGCAGGCATGCATCCATGCACGATGGGACATTTCTCTAAATTGTGCTCCACATACATGTATGGCAATTCCCAAACTTAAGAGAATTAAGGCATAAAATACAACCAAACCACACTTATACAAAAGAAAGTAATTTAAAAAATAAAGATAAAAAAATTTGTCAATGTCTGCATGTACTATTTACCGTGTAGAGATTCCAAACACCATGCTAGGTGGAATTCGACGCGTTCTGTTTCTGCTCCTGTCCTCATCTTGAGCTTTGAGGCGGACGTCATGAGTTGCTCTGAATTGATACTGGTCAGAGGCATTGGTCAGACCTTAAATCAAATCAAATAGACACAATTTATGATGAAAAAAAGTAAATTGTTTTCAGAGAGAAAAAAATGTGTTTTTCACTTCTGAAGCATGACATTTCCATCCTTGAATCTTTTAGACGATTCATCCTTGATGTGACTGAATTGTCTGCATGTGATCCATCACAAAAACAAAAAAATATAGTCAGTCCCTTTTGAGATAATTAGCTTTTTTCACCAATTTTTACACAAGAGACTAATTTAAAGAAAAAAATGCCAAAATTAATTTTTTTTAATGTGTATCAATGTATGTGACAATAACATACCATACCAAACTTGGTCATGCACATAATATCTTACTTAGATAATGTGCTATATCATCTAAGTTCTAATACGTAATATACATGTATGCTTCAAGATTTCATCAAGTTAAACAAAGAAATTGTTATTGAGATTACAACCTGGTTTTTGGCCTACAACAGATAAATACATGCCTCTATATTTAACAATAATTACAATGATTTCATAAATATATGCTAGAGCCTAGGAAAAAATTGTTGCCATCATACCTGCATTCAGTGCTGCTCTGTTAAGAGAGATGAAATCCCGGCCTCTTTGTTTTTCGTGTTTCCTTGGCATTGGAAGAGATATTGAACCAGCCCAACCAGTCATAGCTGGAAAAATGCACAACAACGATTACACACAGTGACATGCAATATAAATTAAATTAAAAATTTAATATAATGTTTCTTGAAATATGAAAGCATAAAATGCCTACAATAACAAGGGGGAAACAACAATTCTGGTATCAAGATCTATGGACATACAAAATGTCTTTCAGCCACAGCTGTGTGTGTGTGTGTGTGTGTGTGTGTGTGTGTGTGTGTGTGTGCATGTGTGTGTGTGTGTGTGTACATATATATGTGCATATGTGTATATGTGCATATGTGTGTGCACATATGTGTGTGTGTTTGTGTGAGTGTTATAAGATAAAGGTGTGTGTGTGGGGGGGGGGGGGGGAAATAGAGGGAGGCCGGGTCCAACATTAAAATATTATAATTATAAATACAGTACATGGAATTCATCAGAACACACCTTCAGCAGTTCCTCCATCTTTAACAGCATTTGGACGTCCAAATGTGAAGCCATCAGGAATTGTGTAGCCTCTTCTCATTGTCTGGCCTAATTGTGGCTAAATTAATACATAAAATATGATGATAATGATAATATTAATAAAAATTATATACAGGTTGAAATATCAGTAAAATATTCACCATCTGAGGTAGGTTATATCCAGTACATCTCTCTAGAGCACCACTAAACATGACGTGGTAAAATTAAAACTTGACCCGAAACTGAGATCAAAAAGCTGATCAAACTCTCAAGTAATAAGTTACTTGCTACATGCTCATAGACCATCATATTAAATTAATTAGCAACACGTTATAATTATCTAATCTTTAGGGCTTTATTTAAAAATCTAAAAAAATTCACGGATAAGTTTCACCATTAATAAATACCATAAACGGCGATGTTAGTCTAGTTTGAACTGCAACAACACACAAATGTTATATGTATAAGTTAAAACATTGCACCGTGTAGATAAATTTATGCCTATTAAATTTTGGTTTATTTCATTTATGATATTCCACCTACCCTCAAAAGTAACTCATTATCCAACATGGTCTCCCGCTTTTCACCGAGAATACCAGTGGCCGTCTTGCTGTAATCATCTAAGCGCAACATGATGTTAGTTTATCTTCACGTCGGTCTGTCAGTCTCTAATCTATATACCAAAACGTGTTGTGTTGCTATTTTCTAAGGCATACAATAGTTTACAATGGCGCCTGCTTAGCAACGATCACGTGACATGAACATCTCGCGAGAATTTGCGTGAACCAGTCATTGGGTTGGTCTCTGTTGCGTCAACAGGGAAAACAAACAAATTGATTTTTCTAAAACGCCTAGACTCTAGATCTATGTAAGAATATTTGAAAAAATGTGTGATTGATAGTTTGTTTCAATTTTAGATCCAATGATTGGGGAAGTGACCATTTTTATATGTTTTTTTAATTATTTGAAAAATATTCTAAGACCGACCGTCTACAAGCTAAACTGGCTACACAAAGGCCTATTGATCCCTATCCGTGAAATATAAAATTTCGCACTGTATATTTTGATATCATCTCCGATGTTTGGTGCACAATTCAGATGACATTTGTACGAACTCATCTTCTCTGATCATTCGCATTTAATATCTTTAAAAAAAATTCTGAAATAAATTTTCTTCAGGCTCAGAGACAGACGACCCACCCTGCATGGCAGGGTAGTCTCTTGTCATGGTAGCCTAGGCCCCATTATATTATTATGTGTTATGTCAAATACGACTTTTTTTCTTTTCGAGCTAATCAAATTTGAGCAGGCCCGTAGCCAGGGGGGTTCGGGGGGTTCGAAAGAACCGCCCCTTTTGCTGGGAAAAGGTCCACTCTGGGTTTGATCTAGGCACATGAAGTTTTTATGGAAAAAGGTCCACTTTTTCAGAAAAAGAACCCCCTTTTTGAAATTTCTGGCTACGGGCCTGTTGAGTGTTATTAACATACCAAAAGTCATCTACATATGAATTTGAACCCTCTCTTCATTTTGATTTAAAAAAATAACCTCTTGATGCATTTAACGATAGGCCTATATAGCCTAAGAGCGGAAAACAAATTTTTAGAGTTGAAGATTGCATAAATGTAGGCCTGTCAGTTATAGACAGTTGTCAGTTATAGACCTGTCAGTCAGTTGTCAGTCAGCTGCCTGTCAGTTGTCAGTTATAGACAAGAAACTTTGGTGACAAGATAATGAGTATGAAATGAAAATAATATTCAGTTGTAGGCCTATGTCGATTATGTCCGCGAATAATATAATAATAAATAATAAATATAATGAATCATTTCGAGAGTTTTTTTCTTCTTGAGAAAACAACTTATAATTTTGCAAATTCAATGGAATCTTTTTGTTAAAATAAATTTTGGTCAAAAACGGATTTTCCTTGGATAAACGACGATTTTTCCATACTCACCAATGGTTATTGAATCAATGCGGACATTCCAAGTTAGTACCTTTTTTCTAAAAAGTTAGGTTTTTTCGTATGATCTCTTAAGAATATCCATCTATGAAGGTCCACATAGTCTACTGACAAGCACAAATTCCAGAATTATTGTAATAACCGCTGTTTTGGAGGTAAATTGGAGTTTATCATATTTTTATGAGTTATTGACAATGTTTTTATCGTGAAATAAAAATCTCATAGTACGAACAGTATTTATCTTTAAAATCTTTTCTCCCAGTCCCCTCAAAAATTAACTCATTTCAAAGATACACACACACACACACACACACACGCACACACAAACGCTCACCGCTCTTTTAAACTTTCTCTGACGCGCAATGGCGTACTTTGAAACATTTTGAAACAGCGAAACCTACAGGCGCGCTCGCGCTTTTTTAAACAGATCTTATTATTAATGTCTAACCATTTCCAAATGAATATTTTGTGGTTTAAAGAATGGGGTAAATTTCACATGAGAGAGAGAGAGAGAGAGAGAGAGAGACTTCGCTTTTTAATTCGTGTTCCGTCCGGTTCCCGTCTCTCTGCAAAAAATAAAAAGAACATAAAAAATAATAAAAAATTGAATCGACCTGAAGTGAATAAAAGAGAAAAAGCGACCTGCTGTCTTTGGTGCCACGCTATGACTGATAGTACCCTCATGTACAGTGTTCCATTACATCTTACTTTGACGCGTGTTTGCATTCGGTTATTGGCTCCAATCTAAAATCGTAGATTAACAATGACAAAAAGGTGCAAATATTGATGTCAGCCCCATACATCAACGTATCGACTTCGACTTTTACAATGGGAAAACATAAGATTAAATGGACCCGGATAAACCGCCTCCGACTGTACAATGACAACTGGATAATGATAGCCGGCTGACAGTTTAATTTCTTTTCGTGAAATTCGATAAATTGGTCCTGTCAAATGTCCCGCAATTACCTGGGACTAGTACCGGAGATACTGGCGCGCGATGCAGGTCACGTGGGCAGATCAAGTTTACTAACACAGACGCCCAAGTCACGCTAACTTGGGTGGGGATATTAACTTTCCTTCTGGCTGATATCTTTAAAAAGGGTATCACGTAACAACTGGCCTGTTGCCAGCCATTTTAAAGGAGATATCTATTTTTTTGAAAAGTGGACCCTTTTATATTCCCACCATTCCTCTTACCCCAACCTTCCCCCCCCCCCCGTGCTTTTGGTTCTGTGCCACTTTGACAAGCGGTTGCCTGTAAACTTCCCTTTCGGTTTCATCAATGGACACAATCTTACATAAGACCCCTTCAAGCTTTTGAGTGTGCCTATGTGCGTGTGAGTGTGTGTGTGTGTGTGTGTGTGGGGGGGGGGGGGGGGCTGTACTGATGGGTGGAAGAAGTCGTTATCACAAGAACATTGTTTTTAAACTTTTGGAAAAGAAAGATTTTAGGGTGTAGGGGGTAAATAGTGGAGTTACTGGCATCATTTAAAACGTAACGATACGATAATTGACACAGGATAAATTTCAAGAGACAGAACAATCACAGTGAGCCCAAAGCATTGGTCCTTTTTTTTTTTCATCATTTTTTATCGGGCCACTCTCACCGTGTTTTTCCGTAAACAGAACAAATAATTTTGTAAACAAATGCACACCCAGTTCCAGTGAATAGTTGCAAATATGCTAACACAGAACTCAAGAAAGGAAGCGGTCAATTGCAAAAAAAAAAAATCACTATTGTTTGCTAAGGACACGAGTGACTTAAAATCTGCGTATAACTGACAATGCTCATAGTATAAAGGGGAATTCAAATACATAAAATCTCATCCTCTATTGATATTAATTTTGTTTGCTTTTTTTTTTTTTTTTTTTTTGTATTTATTTCTTGGTGCCTGATACAAACTTCTTCAAATAATTCGACCGTATTTCTCCATATCATTGTATTCAAATTTGTTTGACTAAACCAAAACACAGTGTCATCTTTCGCCGTTTCGTGATCTCGAATATTGAACTTTTATATAAATAAAATTAAATTACAGCATCTCAAGACCTGTGTGATATTTTTATTTACAAATCCATCTCCTTTGTCTTTAGAAATAAGGTATCCGAAACCATATAAAAGATAAGGAGGACCGGGGGATTGATATTTTTATCCAAAGGTTCACCAAAAGATTCGCAATAAATCAATATATCTCATCATAAAAGAACAGCTAAGGACAACCAAATAGGTGCATAAGAACAGTCACCACAAAGGGAGAGGTAGAAAAAAAATATGGAATTCTTTACAATTGTGCTCTTTAGTTGATGGCGATAAAGAAAGAATGGGGTGATAGCTTAATTTCTATGAGGTAGCAGAACAGGTAGGTTAACTGACACAGTCATTTCAAAGTTGACGAGACGTAACTGGCAATTTTATACCGCTCTGAACGCATTGTACGAAACATGACTTCTTGAATAGAATCCCCTCATTTCTCCGTTAAATTACGGGTATAAAAGTCCCTTGGGCAACGCAAAATGACAAGGGAGGACATTAAGTCTCTTTTTTAAAAGTTACCTGTTTTCACAGGTGTCATGTAGATCATATTCAACCCCATCTATTAGTCTATGGTATTTTTTCGACATCTTATTTACATCAGGGAAAATGATAAGAACCATTAATTCCAATGTCCGGTGTTGTAGTCGAAATAATGACCAGTTAGGGACTGGCGGACGCCCACTGTCCATTCGCGACAACGCTGCCTTCACAATTAATGGTTTTGTTAGAAAGGTTTTTTTGTTTGCTCGTCTTAATGCGTCAGGTCGTCATCACCCTGGCGTCTTTCAGGGTGTCTTCTTGCTGAACTGCGTCGTACCCGGCACCGCATCAGAAAGTCTGACATTAATTAGTGCAATTTTAATTACCGAATGGATGCTTAGGGGAACGGGCCGCCAAGGCAGCAGTTCATTTCTTCAGATGACAGGTAATTGTCACCCAGGCATAAAGGCCAGATGAGAAGGCGACATGTCCCCTTCCAAATCCACCCCACCCCAACCTAATCAGCAGATGGAGAGTGAAAAAAGAGAAGGTTTAGAAAATTAATATTATGGAAATGTATGGATAGAGATATGATGTTTGAAAAACAATTCCTTAGAGAGGAAAGCTTAAATGGGTAGCAGAGAGGTACTACTTTTGAACGGAAAACGGAAGGGGATTTGATAAAACAAAGAGTCAAGTAAGACAATCGTTATTTTAGGAGCAGGCAATCTGACCGAAGTTAATTTAAATCTTACAATCACTCAGTAGTGCATTTTTCTGGTAAGAAAATGACCCTATCCCTCCATACACTCCCCCATTTGCCAAAATAAAAACAATATTGTTTCCGGTTCACATGTATGTTGTTATCCTTATTTTAAACTGTCTAGTTTGAACAAACAATAGAAGTTTCGTCGTTCTCATCTCAGAACAAACTTGCTTGAAGGCTGAGCGGGCCTATCTACCCAAACGGCATATATGCGGGCCTTGCCTTTGTAATTATTGGAGACTGGGACTTTTGTGTATTGTAGAATGCTCGTGTCCTAGATTTTAATGGAACAATAGAAAACAAAACACCAACGTAAACTTTCCCTGGCAGTTTTACGGACCAGCGAGGCAGAGCGAGAGGCTGCCACCCAAACAATGCTAACAGCGAGTAGACCACTCGTTTAGCCTAAGGCAGAAAATTTGCCTGTCAAAATCAAGTTTTTTCGCTTCCAAGTTCTATTAAAAGAATTAGGCAGGTGCAGAAGAAAATTGCCAAAT